GTATGCCAACTGCTACAGAATTCGAATTCTACAGAAATGATGAGCAGTGGTTACATGTAGATGTCAGTGACATGTTGGCGCACCTCGACTTCTGGAGAGAGATAAATAAGCTGGATGCAAGAGACACCGGCAAAGCTAGCACATGCGGAACTTGAGCAGAAAACGATATGCACATTCGCATTACAAGCTCACCTTGCAAAATAAAGCACGTGGGATTCCATGAGCACTCTGAAACAGTCCCCCATGGTCGATCCCGTCAATTGGCCGAGTCGTCGCAGGTCACGGAAGTGCTTCGCAGCGATCCAGACTGAAAGACATAATGCGAGGACCTCCCAAACAGTGTTGAGCATCCAAATAATTGATACGAGAAACTGTATATCCTCCTCGGATCCGTCAGAGCACATATGAATACCAGAGAGTATAATTTCCTCTGGTATTTGTCCAATGAGCTGTGGTCTTCAATTCAACAAGTAAAGCTTACCCGATACGAAATCATACTTGAGCCCTACTATGATAGTGATTACTCCGCAGGCGGTGTTTACAGCTAAGAAGATGATAACAAGGAAGATAAGCATCCTCCTAGATCCCTGATACATGGCATGCAATCGAGCAATCATGATGACTTAGATCATATTTCAGTCGAGTCAATATCACTGAGATATCGCAGCTGGGCAACCCACCGCCCAACATGGCAGTTACGACCACATTTGTCACATTTGTTGCGTAGTTCATGATGTTGCCTGAAACACCCGGTAAGCGGTCACCCTCGTACCAGGATCAAACGCTCCGACTCACACCTATTGAGTCGTTGTGTCGAGCCAAGCCAAGTCCAATGGTCAAATTGCACTCACCCCTACAAATGAATGTATTCATTGGATAGGAATGAAATGATTGCGGGATACTCACTGCATCTGTCGATGAGAAGAACGTAATGTTTTCTGTGTACCGCCGGTCAGAAGAATCGAACACGGTGCATGAGACATACCCAGAATGTTAGCACTGATAATGAGAGGTGGGTTATCAGTACGGCAACTACTTTTTGGCCTTGATTAACATACATAGAAAACGGTATTCCAACATAGCGTATCTAGGAAATTTTGGAGTCAGCACAACCGCCAACCATGCTATGGTATAAAATGAGGTACGGACGACTAGGTACAGCACGGTCATGAAAGACCAGCGTTGGGTCTGTCACGGATTCATTGTTTTTGTTCTGATATGGACTGTGTGACTCACCCAAATGAGGTCAATCTATGACATCATTGTTAGCAAGTTGGGTGCTCCGGCGATAGCATCAACCTACATCTTGTGCAAGTGTTAATACTGGAAATATCATGAGAATATCAGCAAATTCAGAACACTGTGTTGCTCACCCCAATCGTATACCACCACGAAGCCTGCGGCAACTGCGAAGCCAGAAGTCAATATAAAATCAAGACATAACCAACTGATATGGCGAACCTGCCCAATAGCTGTATAAAATATTGAAATTGATGAAGGGCCACCAACTGGGATCATTCGAGACAACGGTCATATTTGAGGATGGGAGATGTATAACGGTCTAGCGTTCATGTTATATATACCAGCATTAAATATTCAGCGCTTGTATCGCCAAAATCGGCATGATAGTGATTCGGACATTTGTTCATGCATGCTCAAGGGAGGCCCTCGCAAATATTGCTTGGAGTACATAGTCCAATTGAATGAATAGAATTTGATTTGAATTTTGCACTACCAGAATTGGAAATCGGCTTCTCACGCGACTCAACTCAGCTTTCAGCGTGCACTCTTCCTCCGATTACTCTTATGGAACAAGGGCCATTCGAACACGCGGGTACATGTCAACGTTCACGTCTTCCGATATCCAGAACGTTCTCTAACCGGTACCCGAAGAATACCACTCATCCAAATCAATATAATCTTCTCTTTGCAATGACCCGGCCTTATCTACATGTAAGTATCATACGTTCTGAACGTTAGCTGATATAGCTCCAACTCAATTTCCGATCTGATAGTCCATCACAAGACCCGATTTAGAGACCTTTAGAGCGTCTTTTCACAATGTGGACAGCAACACTGCCTGCGTCTTCACCTTGTAAATATTTACTTAGTTTCTGCACAATCAAACCCGGGCCCATTCTCTGCCACAATCAATCCTTGCGCAAAACGAGTTTACTTGGGACGATCATGATGGTCCCGTGCCAATAGTGTCGTCTTCATTGCGTTTTTCATTCACGCGTACCTTGAGACTGGACAGTGTTCATTGCAAGATTCTCCCCTCCACGTCTCTTATTCCTCCTTCATCTATGTGTTTAAACAGTCATCACGTTGCGGAGCCATTATGCTATTAGCTGTCTGAGCTCAGACACACTATTTCTACTAGTATTACACTTGCTTTCCAGTCGTTCGGTCCAGATGACTGATAATTTCATGGTTCTGAATAAACGGTTTTCAACAAGGCCATGGCATCACCAGTCATCTGGCCTCGCACAACCGCTCTCGTTTCCGCATATATTTCCTGAGATAGATGATTCCAATGTATTTCGCAGGCTCGCAGACATTCTGGTCTATCAGCTGTCTGGGCTTAGACTCACGTACTTGGGCTAGTAGATGATCACATCGATCCATTGTGTTTTTGATGATCCATCATCTGCTGGCCCTAAAATCGGTGTCGGTAATACTTGTGCTTATGGGCTCCAACAGATCTTGCAAAATCGCAAATGCGACGCACGATTTGCAGTCGCATTGCGCGCCACGCTAAGATGCTGCGACTACTAAGTGTGGTCGATGCCTCACTAATAGTTTGACAGATGTACTTGAGGCTTTCATCTTCTTACCATGTTTTCAGCTTGTTACTTGGTGCAAGTCTGGATCGCAGATTTTAAGTAGCAATACGACAAGAAATGGGTTTGTCTACATAAATCTCGTCTAAAATATACTTTCGAGACCATAAATATGACGAATCCTCGACCAGATATCTCCTCCATGCGGAACACTGGGCAACCATTTCCTAGATAGTACTGCTAGTTGGTATATGCACACGTTCCTGGAAGACAATCAAATTCATGCTAGTTTCTGCGTCGGATTCGGCAACGAGTTTAGCGTGATATTGTCGAATGCTAAGGATGAGGCGTGGTCCCAGCACAAACAACTGCACGGACAATAAAATTTCAAAAGCACCACCGAGTATCTCAACGGCTACATAATTCGAATTCTACAGAAATGATGAGCAGTGGTTACATGTAGATGTCAGTGACATGTTGGCGCACCTCGACTTCTGGAGAGAAATAAGCAAGCTGGAGGCAAGAAACACCGGCAAAGCTGACACATGCGGAACTTGAGCAGAAAACGATATGCACATTCGCATTACAAGCTTACCTTGCAAAATAAAGCACGTGAGATTCCATGAGCACTCTGAAACAGTCCCCGATGGTCGATCCCGTCCATGGACCGAGTCGTCGCAGGTCACGGAAGTGCTTCACAGCGATCCAGACTGAAAGACACAATGCGAGGACCTCCCAAACAGTGTTGAGCATCCAGATCATTGACATCAGAAGCTGGGTACCCCCCTCGAATCCGCCAGAGCACGTATTAATACCAGCGACTATGAGTTCCTCTGGTATTTGTCCAGTGAGTTGTGTTCTTCAATTCAACAAGTAAAGCCTACCCGATACGAAATCATACTTGAGTATTATTATCGCGATTACTCCGCAGGCAATGTTTACGGCCAGGAAGATAATAACAAGGAAGATAAGCATCCTCTTAGATCCCCGATACATGGCATGCAAGCGAGCAATCATGATGACTTGAATCATATTTCAGTCGAGTCAATATCACTGAGGTATCGCAGCTGGGTAGCTCACCGCCCAACATGGCAGTTACGACCATATTTGTCCCATTTACTGCATAGTATATGATATTGCCTGAAACACCCGATTAGCGGTCACCCTCGTACTAGGATCAAACGCTCCGACTCACACCTATTGAGTCATTATGTGAAGCCAAGTCCAATGGTCAGATCTCACTCACCCCTACAAATGAATTCATTCATTGAATAGGAATGAAATGATTGCGAAACACTCACTGCATCTGTCAACGAGACCAATGTGGTGGCTCCTGTGTGCCGCCTGTCAGAAGAATCGAACACGGTGCATACGAGACATACCCAGAACATTGATACTGATAACGAGAGATGGGCTATCAGTACAGCAACTACTTTTTGGCCTCGATCAACATACACAGAATATGGTATTCCAACATAGCGTATCTAGAAAATTTTGGAGTCAGCACAACCGCCAACCATGCTATGGTATAAAATGAGATACGAACGACTAGGTACAGCACGGTCATGAAAGACCAGCGTTGGGTCTGTCACAAATTTATTGTTTTTCTTCTGATATGGGCCTCTGTGACTCACCCAAATGAGGTCAATCTACGACAACATTGTTAGCAAGTTGAGTGCTCCGTTGATAGCACCAACCTACCTCTTGTGCGAGTGTCAATACTAGAAATATCATGAGAATATCAGCAATTTCAGGACACTGTGCTGCTCACCCCAATCGTATACCACCACACAGGCTGCGGCAACTACAAAACCACCGTGACAAGTGGATGTTAGATCGAGACATCACCAATCGATATGACGAACCAATCGAATAGTTGCCAAAATTATTTGAATTGACGAAGGGCCACCAAGTGGGATCATTTGATACTAGGGTCATATTGGAGGATGGGTGTGTATGACGATCCAGCGTTCATGCTAGATGATATACCAGCGGTCTGCCATGTAAGTGGAATTTGATTTGCACTCTGCCTGGATTCAATTTCAAAGTCTTCTCACGCGGTGTTCATTTGCAAATTTCTCCTCGGAATATCCCGACTTTTCTCTTATCCGGAATGCATGTATCCAGTTCGCTCCTCCACGCGGGTACACTACGGTCAACGTTCCATCTTTCAATATCCAGAACGTTCTCTATAACCACCCGGTCTTACATAATATCAAGAATACCACTCATCCAAATCAATTCTCCTTTGCAAGTTTGCACCGACCCGGCCTTATCTACGTGTAGGTATCTTACGCTCCGTGAGTTGGCATAGCTCCAACTCAATTTCCGATCTGATAGTCCATTGTAAGACCCGATTAGAGACCTTTAGAGCGTCTTTTTTACCATGTCGACAGCAACGCCGTCAGCGCCTTCATCATTTTGTAAAAATTTACTTACATCCGCGCAATCAAACGGCCTGGGCCCACTCTCCGCCGTCATTAATCCTTGCGTAAACCGAGTTACTTGGGACGATGGTGTCGTCTTCTGTGACAGCTATCCTTGCCTCACTTTGCGTTCATCATCCACACATGCCTCGAGGTTGAATCTAGACCATCAACAACAAGGTAACCATCTTCTGTCAATGATTGTACACATTTTTTGTCCTCAGATAACTGATGCATTAGTGATACTTTGTCGAGTGCGCTTTACTCCTCGCTCAGCACAAATAGTCTGCGTGCTAATCCGACACAGTATCAGCCGTCTGAAGTTTCACGACTTGCTGCCACTTCTTCTTTTGCTTTGCTCAGGTAGTGACATGATAGAGCCGATGTGGTCTGATCAAAGTGTGTATATCAAAATATCGTAGTCAGCGCCTTACTGATACTTTTCCAGGAGCGTTTGATACCTGACTTGAAACCTGTTTCCCATCTCTCAGCACTTTTCATCTCCTTGCCATGCGCATTCATTCTTGACAGAGGCATATACTCACCTCATAAGTCTGTTCTAAATTGTCATGCTCGATATCGTTGAATCATGCTTGAATAGACGTCAATCAGCGATATTGCGTCAGTAGCACCCAAAACGGAATGGACCGATGATCTGGTGTGACGCCCAATCACATGAGTCACCAACTGTTGCCCCGCTACCTGCTCGGCCACCTACCACGACCACAGACCTTATTTCGAGCTCGAATGATGAATATCAAGGTATATGTCCAGACTCGGATGATAAGATGCGAATTGGCTTGATGACGGTGATATCACGGACCATGTGGATTTAGTTGGCACAAAAAGAAATGGATTTGATGTGGGTAAACATGTTGTGATATCATCCACTTACCTCCTCAATATCCTGTCAGACCACCCCATACAACCCATGGCTACTCGCGGACGAGAGGTCCGTCGACAGCAAAGATGGCGGCTGATCAAGGTACAACTTCATCCTCAATGAGGAATGGTCATAGGTGGAGTCAAATAGAGCAAATTTACCTGCAAATCAGCGTCAAAAAGCCATGGGTCGAGTCAATTAGGCCTTCGTAGAAGGTCATGCTAATTTGCCGGTTAATTAGAGCAGGAACCCTAATTCCCCGAACCCTTGACTCAGAGTCGGTGTTGAACTTGACAGCTCATGCTCTCAAGTTCAACGGCGACATCGGAGAGTTAGAGTAGACCTGGTACGGACACGGCTTACCCCAATGGGCTTGGCATGGACGTTAGATGAAAGGAACCAAGTTGTCATGGTCGCCGCCATTCCTTGATGGCCTCATGGCAAGCTGCCACCACTTGGAAGCCTCAGGCTGTCGCTGCTATGGCATTCTCCCGGGTCACTTGAGAAATGTCCACTGCAGGTCATATCTTGTTGAACCAGTTCTTCGTTTTATTCTACAAAGCCCCGGTCAATTACCGGTCATGATAGTATTTAGAGCAGCAAAACCTAATGACCACCAACCATCCAGTCCCACTGGGCTCGACTCATCCCTTTTCTTTTGTTGACTGGGCATTTCGTGCACACAACTTAAGCGCGTGTAAGATATGTTTGCTGTCATTATATCGCAGCTCTACATAATATTTTTACTTTTACTCGTTAACAAGATCCTCCTCCTCGTGTGTACGTACGCCAACTAAGAATTGACACGTCCACCATCCGGAGATGTTTCGTTGGAATGAATTTCAGACAAATCATACAACATCGACTTCGACCTCGTTCCAATCATCGGTGGAAACCATGCGCTTGAAGCTCCTGATGGTACCAAACTAGAGCATTTCTTGTCCTGGGTTCAATGTCTACCTGATCGCGAACCACCTGCATGGCTAAGCCTTCCTCCGACCGCAGAGCGTGTTATTGCTGTAGCGCAAGGTATACAATATATACCTACACCACTACCTCTCTGATTGCTTCATTTTAAAGTTAATGAGCTGCTTAACAAATTGCGCAAGATGCGGACTCTAGTAGATGATGACGAGCTCGGGAGTGCCGCTAATCCCTCGAAAAGCCAGACCTTCACGAGCGATGCCGTGAGTGGCTTACGTAACTGTGAGTCTCTTGATGGATTTATTGTCCGCATGTTGCTCACCGTTCTATTTCAGACACTGAATACTCTGCCAAAGCAATCCAATGACAATCCTGATCCTCTTTATCGTTTGTTCTTCCGGGAAACCTTAATCGGACGCAAACTTCTCGACCAGGTTTGCAACGCTTGTCATTCGGTACGATTCGGCGAGCGGATCACCGACTTCCAATAGTGATACAACAACAAATGTTTACATAAACTCCGTCTTAAATATACCATAACCAAAATGAATACTACGACGGATCCTCAACCAAATATCTCCTCCATGCGAAACACTCGACAACCATTTCCTACACAGTACTGCTAGTTGGTACATGCACACGCCCCTGGAAGACGATCGAAATCATGCTAGTTTCTGCGTCAGATTTGGCCATTAGCGTGATATTGTCGAACACTAAGGATGAGGCGTGGTCCCAGCACAAACATCTGCACGGACATTAGAATTTGCACAGCATCACTGAGTATCCCAGCTGCTACAGAAGTCGAATTCTACGGAAATAATTAGCAGTAGTTACATGTAGATGTTAGTGACACGTTGGAGCACCTCGAGCTTTGAGGAGCTATTATCAAGCTGTAGCTGTAGGCAAGAGACACCGGCGAAGCTAACACATACGGAACTTGAGCAGAAAACGATATGCACATTCGCATTACAAGCTCACCTTGCGAAATAAAGCACGTGAGATTCCTATCAGCACTCTGAAACAGTCCCCGATGGTCGATCCCGTCCATGGACCGAGTCGTCGTAGGTCACGGAAACGCTTCGCAGCGATCCAGACTGAAAGACACAGTGCGAGGACCTCCCATACAGTGTTGATCATCCAGACCATTGACAACAGAAGCTGGTAATCATCCTCAAATTCGCCACCGCACTAATGAATGCCAGAGAGTATTAGTTCCTCTGGTAGTTCGTCCAATGAGCTGTGTTATTCAGTTCAACCAGTAAAGCTTACCTGATACACTATGATACTTGAGTTCCTATCATCGCGATTACTCCGCAGGCGATGTTTACTGACCAGGAAGATAATAACAAGGAAGATAAGCATCCGCCTAGATCTCTGGTACATGGCATGCAACCGGGCAATCGTGATGACTTGGATCATATTTCAGTCGAGTCAATATTAGTGAGGTACCACAGCCGAGTAACTCACCGCCCAACATGGCAGTTACGACCACGATTGTCCCATTTGTTGTATAGAATACGATATTGCCTGAAACACCCAATTAGCGGTCACTCTCATACTAGGATAAAATGCTCCGACTCACACCTATTGAGTGATTATGTAGAGCCAAGTCCAATGGTCAAATCGCACTCACCCCTACAAATGAATGTATTCATTGGATAGGAATGCAATGATTGTGAAATGCTCACTGCATCTGTCAACGAGACAAACGTAATGATTCCTGTGTTCCGCCGGTCAGAAGAATCGAACACGGTGCATGAGACATACGCAGAATTTGAGTACTGATAATGAAATATGGCTATCAGTACAGCAACTACTTTGTGGCCTCGATTGACATACACAGAATATGGTATTCCAACATAGCGTATCTAGACAATTTTGTAGTCAGCACAACCACCAACCGTTCATGCTATGGTATAATATGAGGTACGAACGACTAGGTACAGCACAGGTCATGAAAGACCAGTGTTGGGTCTGTCACAAATTCATTGTTTTTGTTCTGATATGAGACTTGTAACTCACCCAAATGAGGTCAATCTATGACAATATTGTTAGCAAGTTGGGTGCTCCGGCGATAGCACCAACCTACCTCTTGTGCGAGTGTTAATACTGGACATATAATGAGAAAATCAGCAATTTAAGAACGCTGTGCTGCTCACCCAAATCGTATACCACCACGACGCCTGCGGCAACTGCGAAGCCACAAGTGAATACCAGATCAAGACATGACCAACTGATATGGCGAACCCGTCCAATAGCTGTTCCAAATATCCATATTGATGAAGGGCCACACACTGGGATCATTGTCAACTAGGGTCATATCCGAGGATGGAAGATGTTAAGAGTGTATAACGGTCTAGCGTTCATGCTAGATATACCAGCGGTCAGCTTGTTTTGCCAAAATCGTCATGATGGTGATCGGCCTATTTGAGAGTGGAATTTGATTTGCACTATGCCTGAATTGAAAATCTTCTCACGCGGTGTTCATTTCAATATCCAGAATCTTACTAATATCAGGAATACCACTGCATCCGAATCAATCTTCCTGTGCAAAAGTTTGCACCGACCCGGCCTTATCTACATCTAAGTATCATACGTTTTCAACGTAAGATGACATAGCTCCCACTCAAGACCTGATTCAAAGGCTTCTAGAGTGTCTTTTTTGATTGCACACATTTTTTGTCCTCAGATAACTGACACACTGCCAGTATCAGCCGTCTGGGGTTTCGCGGCTCGCTGCCGCTTCTTCTTATGCTTCGCTCGGGTGGTGGCATGATAGAGCCGACGTGACCTGATCAAAGTATGTATATCAAAATATTGTAGTCAGCGCCTTACTGATACTTTCCCAGGAGCGTTTGATACCATCCGGGTCCTGACTTGAAGCCCGCTTCCTATATCTACTCCGCATTCATTCTTGACAGAGGCATATGCTCACCTCGTAAGTCTGTTCTAAATTATCATGCTCGATATCGTCGAATCATGCTTGAATAGACGTCGATCAGCGATATTGTGCTAGTAGCACCCAAAACGGAATGAACCTGGATATCCAATAATCTGGTGTGACGCCCAATCACATGAGCCACCAACTGTTGTCCCGCTGCCTACTCGGCCACCTACCACGACCGCAGACCTTATTTCGAGCTCGAACGATGAATATCAAGGTATATGTCCAGACTCGGATGATGAAGATGCGAATTGGTTTGATGATGGTGATATCACGGACCATGTGGATTTAGTTGGCGCAAAAACAAATGAGTTTGAAGCGGGTGAACATATTGTCATATCATCCACGTACCTCCTCAATATTCTGTCAGACTACCCCATACAACCCATGGCTACTCGCGGAGGTGACAGGTCTGTCGACAGCAAAAGTGGCGGCCGATCAAGGTACAACTTCATCCTCAATGAGGAATGGTCATAGGTGGTGTAAATTACAGTCAATTTACCTGCAAATTAGCGCAAACCAGCGCCAAAAAGCCATGGGTCAATTAGGTGTAATTTACACTTGGCCTTCGTAGAGGGTCATGCTAACTCACCGGTCAATTAGCGCGGGAACCCTAATTCCCCGAGCCCTAGACTCGGAGTCGGCGTTGAACTTGACAGCTCGTGCTCTCAAGTTCAATGGCGACATCAGAGAGCTATAGTAGACCTGGTCACGGCTTACCCCGATAGGCTTGGCATGGACGTTAGACGAAAGGAAGCTTGTCACGGTCGCCGCTATTCCTCGATAACCACCAACCATTTAGTCCCACTGTGGGCTCGACCCGTGCCTTTTCTCTATTGTGCATCTTCACACAGGGCCCATTGTCGCCAATAGTGCAGTATGCAGACAATAGATTAGTCTTTGCGTCTAATGACTCTTCTTTTGTAAAGCAATGTGCTTGTTGATGTACGTTGCACCTCCCTCTCCCTGTGGAAATCGATTCTAAATCAAGAGATACCGCTCGTCATGGTGGGCTTATGTGCGCCAACATGTAGGATGTGGTATAGTCCGACGCGAACATAATTTGAATTTCTTTTGTTGTTGACTGGGCATTTCGTGCACCAGATGTACTTGTGGCTTTTCATCTTGCCATGCTTTTCCTCTTGCTACTTGGTGCAAGTCTGGATTACCGACTTCCAGTACTTAGCGATACAACAAGAAATGGGTTCCTCTACGTAAACCTCGTCCAGAATATACTTTGGAGACCATAATTAGAATAAATATGACGGATCCTCAACCAAATATCTCCTCCATGGGGAACACTCGACAACCATTTCCTACACAGTACTACTAGTTGGTACATGCACACGCTCCTGGAGGGCGATTGAATTCATGCCAGTTTCCGGGTCCAATTCAACTACGAGTTTAGCGTGATATTGTCGAACGCTGAGGATGAGGCGTGGTCCCAGTACAAACATCTGCACGGACAATAAAATTTGAAAAGCATCATTGAGTATCGCAACTGCTGCAGAATTGGAATTCTACAGAAATGATGAGCAGTGGTCACATGTAGATGTCAGTGACATGTTGGCGCACCTCGAACTTTGGAGAGAGATTGACAAGCTGGATGCAAGAGACACCGGCAAAGCTAGCACATGCGGAACTTGAGCAGAAAACGATAAGTACATTCGCATTACAAGCTCACTCCGCAAAATAAAGCACGTGAGATTCTATCAGCACTCTGAAACAGTCCCCGATGGGCGATCCCGTCAATGGGCCGAGTCGTCGCAGGTCACGTAAGTGCTTCACAGCGATCCAGACTGAGAGACACAGTGCGATGACCTCCCAAACAGAGTTGAGGATCCAGATCATTGATATCAGAAGCTGGCTATCCCCCTCGAATCCGGAATGGCACGTATGAATACCAGAGATTATCACTTCCCCTGGTATCAGTCCAATGAGCTGTGTTCTTCAATTCAATAATTGAAGCTTACCCGATACGAAACCATACTTGAGTCCTATGATCGTGATTACTCCGCAGGCAATGTTTACAGCCAGGAAGATGATAACAAGAAAGATAAGCATCCTCCTAGATCCCTGATACATTGCATGCAGCCGAGCAATCATGATGACTTGGCTCATATTTCAGTCGAGGCAATATCAGTGCGCATCTGGGCAACTCACTTCCCAACATGGCAGTTACGACCACATTTGTCCCGTTTGTTGCATAGACTATGATATTGCCTGAAACACCCGATTATCGGTCACTCTCGTACTAGGATCAAACGCTTTGACTTACACCTATTGACTCATTATGTCGAGCCAAGTCCAATGGTCAAATCGCACTCACCCCTACAAATGAATGTATTCATTGGATAGGAATGAAATGATTGCGGAATACTCACTGCATCTGTCAACGAGGCCAACGTAGTGTTTCCTGTGTGCCGCGGGTCAGAAGAATCGAACACGGTGCATATGAGACATACCCAGAATGGTAGCACTGATGATGAGAGACGGGCCATCAGTACAGCAACAACATTTTGGCCTCGATTAACATACACAGAATATGGTATTCCAACATAGCGTATCTAGAACATTTTGGAGTCAGCACAACCGCCAACCATGCTATGGTATAAAATGAGGTACGGACGACTAGGTACAGCACAGTCATGAGAGACCAGCGTTGGGTCTGTCACAAATTCAATGTTCTTGTTCTGATATAGGACTCTGGGACTCACCCAAATGAGGTCAATCTATGATAGCTTTGTTAGCAAGTTGGGTGCTCTGGCGGCAATAGCATCGACCTACCTCTTGTGGGAGTGTTAATACTGGAAATATCATGAGAATATCAGCGATTTCAGAACACTGCTGCTCACCCCAATCGTATACCACCACAAAGCTTGTGGCAACTACCGTGACAAGTTGATGTTAGATAGATCGAGACATTAGCAAACAATATGACGAACCAAACCAATAGCTGTTAAAAATATTTGAATTGATGAAGGGCCACCAACTGGGATCGTTTGAGATTATGGTCATATTCGAGGATGGGGAGTGTATAATGATGATCTAGTGTTCATATACCAGCGTTCAGCGCTCTCGAAGGTTCCAAGGGTCCCAATCACACATAGACATGTAGCACGACACGTGTTAGACGCATTCATTCCATTCCGTTCAGCCATAGCAGCCAGAGGTTCCTCGTCCTCTCGTGAGCGCAGGGTAGAGCCGGGTCCAGCGCTTCAAGTTTTATCGCCAAAATGGGCATGATGGTGCATTTGACACTCTCGAGGCCCTTGAAGTACATAGTCCTTGATTGAATAAAAATAGATTTTCAAACCATAACTGGTGAATTGGAAATTGAAAACGATTCTATTTGTATTCCCACTCACATGACGTACGTGACGGCATCGAGTTCAAACCTGATGCCAAGCTCATCAATCTAAGCGTGATTTGTGCACTCTTCCTCCGCTTCGGAACAAGAACCGCAGCATGATACCAGTCCATCCACTGAATTTACCCTCGCGGGTACGACCCTTTCAGAGCACGTCGATAGCAACGCCGCCCTGCTTACATCTGCTTACTAATCTGCACAATCAACTCCGCCGTAATCAATCCTTGCAGTTCACTTGGGAAAATGGTCCCATGCCAATAGTGTCGTCTTCATTGCATTCTTCATTCACGCGTGCTCTCGCCTCCACGTCTCTTATTCCTCCTTCATCTATGTGTTCAAACAGTCGACTAGTCATTACGTTGCGGAGCCATTATTCTATCAGCTGTCTGAGCAGTGAGCTCAGACACACTACCTCTACTTTCTATTCCACTTGCTTTCCATTCGTTCGGTCCAAATGACTGATAATTCAATGGCCTTAAAATCGGTGTCGGTCATACTTGTGCTTAGCCGCGGCAGGATCGATGGGCTTCAATAGATCTTGCAAAAACGCAAATTCGACGCACGATTTGCATTCGCATGCGCGCCACGCTACGATGGTGCAATTAAGTGTGGTCGATGCCTCATTAATAGTTTGACAGATGTACTTGAGGCTTTCATCTTCTTATCATGCTGTTCAGCTTGCGACTGGGTGCAAGTCTGGATTACCGACTTCCGGATGCTTGGTGAGGTTCGCGAAGACGGTGCAAAGCAGCAGCATTAAGTTTCGAACAAGGGTCATCAAGGGAAGCATTTTGTAAAGCACGAATAAATTCAATTGTATCCTTCATCTTGGGGAGTATTGCGAGAGTTGCAAGCTTGTCGACATCAATTGCAACACGTTGGTGCTCTGGAAGAGCTTGGGCAGGTGGAGGACCCGGAGATGGTGACCGCCGCAGTACAAAGTCCTCGTCAGGTGGAGGAGGACCTGGAGATGGTGACCGCTGCAGGAAAAAGTCTCCGTCAGGTGGAGGAGTGGGAGAGTGCCGTGGAAGGCTCGGATCTGGCAGACCGTCATCGTCGATGTTGTCATGCTGACATTCAGAAGGACCTGCTTGTGAAAAGTTGTGATTGGACTGGAAGAAAGCAGTGAATTTGAGAATAAGTATCTGCGGCAAGTAGATTCAATGTAAAACAAGAGGCACTTACCATCGAAGAACTTGTATCATCTGCTGACTTTTCTCGATCAAGATGGCGAGCCTCTCTCTTTCGACGAGTTTCTTCTCTGGCTTCTTGAGCAGCTCGCCTCACGATAGCCTGCTGAGCTTGTCTGCGACGTATACTGACAGGCAGAGAGGAAGAAGGCCCAGCCTCGGCCTGAGCAGGGTTTTTATTCATAGTACTAGTAGTAGCAGTAACTGTAAGCAGGTAGGAATACCTATGGCGCTGGATCTGTTCAACTATTCTTCACACACAAAACTCACACACACGCACAGACGCGACACACACACAAACGAGACGCACACACATAATCATTCCTTCGCATACCAGTCGATGGAACATGCAGTATCGTCAGTGCAGTCTCATGAGTGCTCGGGCGGCTCCTCGCAGGCAATAATGCGGCAGTGCTCATTATTGGCTGAACTACGCATCAATCTTATGTATTACATAAGCGTTGTGCCGCCTGAGTCCTGACAAGGCTTTGCTATTTTTTTCTATAAGTCACTGCAGTTCTTCAGTACCTCGGGATGTCAATGTGTAGTAGTCAAGAGGCTAACACCAACGCCCAGGGATGAAATGCTGAAAGCGGGTCTCCTACTGCTGTCCCTGCTATTTTTGTGCATACAGTACCATCTAGAGCGCCAGTGGTGACGGAACCAAGATGGAACTTTCTCAACAAGATCTACGTACGCTCAATTTTCTCCAAGTCCTTTGTTTTCGCCAGGGAGTTGAAAGGGACCAATGCTGGTGACATTGAGACTCAAGGTACGTTTTGACTTTTTATCATTTTTCTATATTCTTACTGCGAAGCATCTTGCACTCCTGCAGTTACTATCTCTTGCGCCTACCCGTTCTCTTGTGAACCAATCAATGTCTACGGACCTATACTTCTGGTCCCTCGCGCCCGTTCTCATGCTCGCTCTAACTCTTTTGTTTGTGCTCGCTCTCTTGCACCCGTTCATGCTTGCTCTCTCATACCTGTTCTCTCGTGCTAACTCTCTCCCACTTGTTCTCTCATGCCGCGCCCCATCTCTCATGCCCTCCTACTTCTCGATGTCGCTCGGTATTGAGACCATCAACTGCGGCACCACAACAAGCGCCCGCCACGTCACCTGCATCTTTGCGCACTGTCCACCAGCTGGTCCTTAAAAAGTTTCGAGGCTTTGCTCTCAATGCTGGCGACTTCGGTGCATTTTGTTTGCCCTTGGACTCTACTTGCTTTGCGCTTATAGAAACCTTCATCATCGCTCTGAGACCTACTCACTTCTCATTGCTCCGTCTCGTCCACCGGCAGGCCTTGAAAAGATTCGAGGCTTTGCTGCCAATGCTGGCAGCTTCGGTGCATTTTGTTTGCCCCTTGGACTCTACAGTTCTTCATTGGGGACCTTGTCTGCAATATAATTTGATTATCGAATCATGTCAGATCTAGTAGTGCAGTACTAATTTTTCTACGATACAAGAGTATGTATGCGAAGGAGTGATTATGTGTGTGCGTCTCGTTTGTGTGTGTGTCGCGTCTGTGCGTGTGTATGAGTTTTGTGTGTGAAGAATAGTTGAACAGATCCAGCGCCATAAATACCATGTGATGTAATCGCACTTACAATCTCTTGCGACGAAGGCAAAAACGAGTGATGCTACGACAGAGATATGGAGAGCTCGATATACAAAGACGCAGAAATGCAATCACTTGCAAACGAACACATGCAAACAACGCACACACGAACAACGTGCAATCGCAGAACATCACACAAATTTCCATTTCGCGGTCTACACCATATCTGACCTTATCAATTCTAGAATTCTCTTATATCACCCGTTCTCAGCCTGTGCAGTTCTGACTGGGGATGAGGCGTGGTCCCAGCACAAACAACTGCACGGACAACAAAAGTTCAAAATTACCACCAAGTATCTCGATTGCTACAGAATTCGAATTCTACAGAAATGATGAACAGTGGTTACATGTAGATGTTAGTGACATGTTGGCGCACCTCGGCTTCTGGAGAGAAATAAGTAAGCTGGATGCAAGAGACACCGGCAAAGCTAGCACATGCGGAACTTGAGCAGACAACGATGAGCACATTCGCATTACAAGCTCACCTTGCAAAATAAAGCACGTGAGATTCCATGAGCACTCTGAAACAGTCCCCCATGGTCGATCCCGTCAATTGGCCGAGTCGTCGCAGGTCACGGAAGTGCTCCGCAGCGATCCAGACTGAAAGACACAGCGCGAGGACCTCCCAAACAATATTGAGCATCCAGACCATTGATATCAGAAGCTGGATATCCCCCTCATATGCGGCAACGCACATATGAATACCATAGAGTATGAGTTCCTCTGGTATTTGTCCAATGAGTCGTGTTCTTCAATTCAACAAGAAAAGCTTACCCGGTACGAAATCATACTTGAATTCTATGATTGTGATTACTCCGCAGGCAATGTTTACAGCCAGGAAGATGATAACAAGAAAGATAAGCATCCTCCTAGATCCCTGATACATTGCATGCAGCCGAGCAATCATGATGACTTGGATCATATTTCAGTCGAGTCAATATCACTGAGGTATTACAGCTGGGGAACTCACCGCCCAACATGGCAGTTACAACCACATATGCCCCATTTGTTGCATAGAATATGATATTGCCTGAAACGCCCGATTAATGCTCACTCTCATACTAGGATCAAACGCTCCGACTCACACCTATTGAATCATTATGTAGAGCCAAGTCCAATGGTCAAGTCTCACCCACCCCTACAAACGAATTCATTCATTGGATAGGAACGAAATGATTGCGGAATACTCACTGAATCTGTCAACGAGATCAACGTAGTGGCTCCTGTGTGTCGCCTGTCAGAAGAATCGAACACGGTGCATATGAGACATACCCAGAACATTGACACTGATAATGAGAGATGGACTATCAGTACAGCAACTACGTTTCGGCCTTGATTAACATACACAGAATATAGTATTCCAACATAGCGTATCTAGAACATTTTGTAGTCAGCCCAATCACCAACCATGCTATAGTATAAAATGGAGTACGGACGACCAGGTACAGCACGGTGATGAGAGAACAGCATTGGGACTATCACAAAGTCTTTATTTTTGTTCTGATATGGGACTTGTAACTCACCCAAATGAGGTCGATCTATGACAACATTGTTAGCAAGTTGGGCGCTCCGGCGATAGCACCAACCTACCTCTTGTGGGAGTGTTAATACTAGAAATATCATGAGAATATCAGCAATTTCAGGACACTGTGCTGCTCACCCCAATCGTATACCACCACGAAGGCTGCGGCAACTACGAAACCACCGTGACAAGTGGATGTTACATCACCAAACGATCTGACGAACCAGAATAGTTGCCAAAAATATTTGAATTAATGAAGGGCCGCCAACTGGGATCATTTGAGACCAGGGTCATATTCGAGGATGGTGAATGTTGGGAGTGTATAATGATTTAGTGTTCATACATATACCAGCGTCCAGCGCTTGTACCACCAAAATCGGCATGATGGTGATTTGTTCATGCTCGAGCCGAGCCCCTTGATTGATTGAAGTTGATTGAATGAAAATAGATTTCCAAACCGTAACTGGTGAATTGGAAATTGAAAACTCGATTCCCACTCTCACGTGACGTACGTCGATCATGATTTTCAGAGTATTCCTGTTGCAATCTTCCCATGCATAGTATAGACTCATCAATCTAACACAGGTTTAAGCATGATTTGTGCACTCTTCCTCCAAGAACCGCAGCAGCTCAATCAAATTTAATCAAACTTGGGCCCAATAATCCTCCGCCGTAATCAATCCTTGTACAAAACGAGTTCAATTGTGAAAATGGTCCCATAGTATCGTCTTCTCTCACTGCCCCATTTTGCATTCATCAAGTGCACAAAGTAACCATCTTCCGTCAATGATTTTTTTTCTTGAGATAACTGATGCATCAGTGATACGTCGGGCGCGCCGCTTTACTCCTCACTCGGCACAGATAGTCTGCGTGCTGACCTGACGCAGTATCAGCTGTCTAAAGTTTCACGACTATCTACCTGCAAATTAGCGCAAATCAGATGGGTCAATTTGAGTCAATTAAGTGCAACTGTTCTTCATAGAGGGTCGGTCAATTAGAGCGGGAACCCTAATTCCCCGACCCTAGACTCGGAAACTTGACATTGAGAGATGTCTACTGCAGGTGAATCGGTATGGCCCGGACTGACAACACGTTGAGACATAAATCGATTGTAACTCGAGAGATACCGCTCGCCACGGTGGGCTTATGTGTGCCAACACGTAGGATAGGGTATAGTCCGACGCAAACATAAATTTGAATTTCTTTTGCTGGGCATTTCGTGCACAACTTGAACGCGTGTAAGATATGTTTGCTGTCATTATATTGCAACTCTACATAATATTTTTACTTTTACTCGTCAGCAAGATCCTCCTCGTATATACGTACGCCAACTAAGAGTTGACACGTCCACCATCCGATGAAGTCCCATCGGAATGAATTTTAGACAAATCGTACAACGGCGGAAGGTTCTTCAAGTTCTGAGTGCGTTGTTGTTGGAAATCTTGGTAAACCTGATCCTTGTTTGACCTCGAGAGGAATTGAATCGAGGCACCCTTGTCGTCATCGTTATTAGATGTGGAATTACCAAAGTTGAAGCTAAATTCGTCGTCAGTGCCAGGGTGGATATATGCCAAAAGAAAAAAAACTTACACAGAGTAGACGTTGCGCATGAATATATCGCCAAGCAAAAAATCCATATCCGAGCCTGTACTCGACAGTTGCGGACGGAATGCAGAAGTGCAAACAGTGTATTGAGTGTTGCCGTCAGTAAAAGTTGCCAGCCTCGTCAATTCGAGAGGGTTAATGGGCAAGTAATCGTGGCTGATGGTTTGGTCAGTAGATAATCAAGATTAGAAGCACTGCAATCACGAACCCAAACGAGAAGGACAAATTTGCCTGGCCTAAACACGGTACGATCCAGAAATTTTGCCCATTGCTTTGTATATGAATCGATCCGCTGATAGCACCGTATATCGCATCCACAGCGTTGGAGGGAATGTACGCCAAACTGGTTCCGCTGTCGATGAGAGAAATAGCGGTCCCCTTCTTTGCTCCCTTGACTACCGACTTGAGTGTCACGTCGTGGCCATTGACCTGCATGCCCGATAGCGCTATAGTCCAGCGCGATGACGTCGAAGGCGCAAGGGGGTATTTAGGTGTCCCGGAGACATCCTTGAATTGTGGGACGTATTCCCCAATCGTGATGGCGCCTCCAGACGTATTTTCATTATCAGTCGTGCGCTCGAGCGCTAAAGCCATAAAATTCGGTGTTGTCGGATTTTGTTCAAAAAGGTTTGCCATGATAGGGCGAGCGGCCTTTGTCTTGATTTTTTTCTCGATCATGGATAGCGATATAAAGCCAAGACCGAGAATTCCATCGGCCCCTTGCTGGTACGTTTTGTCAACATTTAAAAACGCTGAAAATCATAAGGAAAGGTCGAAAGAAGCTTTGATAAGGATCACCTTGATTTTGCACTTGATAAGTCCCAAGTTGAACGGTGGTGTAAGCGATGTTTCCCGAGGCGGAGCCAATTCCATATGTGAGGTTAAGATTGTCGGATGTCTCGCTGTTGATCTTGATTTGTTGACCAGTGACCCACTTGCGTCGATACAATTAGTTTCTAGCATGAACTGCAAACAGAGCACTGCTCACCAGATCGCTGGACCCCGTATCGAGCACTAGGTTAAAATCTGGGTCGGAAAGGTCAGTGGATGTAGCCCCTAATAAGATGCACTACTTACCATGTCCTCCTACATTGACCTGCCCGAGGTACTAGACGAAGATTAAACACACGTTTGCGACCGAGTTCGCAATGCGTATACTCACCTCCAGATCCGATTCACTAGTGACTGAAACGAGTGACCCAAAAGTTGTGTTCGTAGCGTCGTTTGTCGGTTTGTAATGAGCATTAAAATAAAATCCAATCGAATGGTCGTCCCTAATGATGGCGAGGGCATTGCTTTCCAGAAGCTTGCCGCAGGCGATGAGAGCGAAGGCGAAAGTGGCGAATGGCGTTGAGGACATAGTTGCTGTGTTGAAAGAATGAATATTGAAAAGTGGATGAATGACAGACATTTATTTATCGGATTATAAACAAATTGATTTCAGTTCAGATGAACTAACCCTGACGGCATATGACGTCGTGATATTTGGGAACTTCCGAGACATTGCGAATGTAGCCGCGGAACCATCAAAAATGAGCGAGATAGTGGCACTTTGAGAGTTTTCGTTCTTGGCGATCGCAAGAAAGCATCCAAGTACTCAATCCATGACAGCCTGAGGGATATAGCATATCCAAAAGGTCGATACAAGTGGTAGAGAAGGTGTTTAACGAGAATTACAATTCGGACTGGAGCATCACAGATGGGCGAGACCGATCCAGCCGATGCATACCAAAGTCCTGATAGTTTGTGCAACATTCTATACAATCAAAATATGAGTCTACGCAATAATATTAAGGAGCAAGCATTGGACAATTCACGCATGGTCCGCCCTGCAGACTGATGCCATCTGCCCTTTACATCCACGCCGACGAAAGCGAACAAAGGAGTTTGAATATTCCACTTCATCGATTAAATCCCTTGTGATGAAAGCAAGCGCCTTCACAGCAAGACCATTCACACACACAAGATTGTTTTTCACTCCTCTACGCCCATTCGATACCGCCAAAAATCATTGGAGGAAACAACATTCTTTGCGTCGCAGTGAGAACCGGCGTCCAATCGGTAGAAGGGCAGATCACATACCATTGAAGGTGAGCTGAGACACATTTTAAGAGTCTACAGTACTCCCCCCCGTCACTTCCAGTATCTTCCAATCTACTTCGATCTGCTCCTGCTGAAATATTTCCTGTATTTTCCCAGCGATGCTATCAAAATTATGAGTTGCAAGCGCAAGGATGGTTGGCCCTGCACCAGAGAGGCAAATGCCAAGCAGGCCAGGATGTGAAGCAGGAGTGATCAAAGAAGTGACCGCTGGCAGGCCAGGGATCTGAAATGGTGGTCAAGAAGTGCAACCTACGCAGAATTAAAATTACTTACAAGAGTTTTTCGATACGGCTGGTGCACACGATCTTTCATAGCCTCGAAAATCAATTCTGGGTCTGGTGGCGTCTGACCGAGAGCTGTGGTGAGGACGGCTAATCGTTGCATATTAAAAACCTATGGGGGTTTTATTCAAGACATTATACCTTATATGTATACGAGAGCACATACCAGATCCTTCCTTGAGTAACTCTCTGGCAGAACAGCTCGCGCTTTTGCAGTACTGAGTTCAAATCGGGGTATGATGGCAACAGCTTTGATGCTACTGTTCCATTTAAATCGGACGTAGTGACCGATACCCAACGGCGGAACAGGTGGGGAAAGACCCCAGTTTTCTCCAGCATCAGGGGGGTATTCCGGGAGGACTTCAGAGAGGGGTACTTGTGCTGCCTCAGTAGCTTGTGGGTCTAGCTCTCTAAGGTATGATCCAACAAATCCTCCAACAAGCGCGGCTGTCACGTTGTCGGGGTGGCGCTCGACCATGAGCGCGAAGTCTAACATTCGCTCTCGGGAGAGGTTGAGTTTCCCGAGACTGTCTCCGAGAAGAACGCCTGCAATGACCGCTGCGCCGGACGAGCCGAGTCCGCGTCCAAAAGGTATTTGGTTGTGACAGTGAATACTAAGGGCGGGAGGGAATGTCCTATGGCCATTGCAACGTAGCACGTAGAGTGCTACGCGAGTCATGAGGTTGCAGTACGGGTCCAGCGGGACTTCATCAGCTCCTTCACCCGAATATGTGATCACTGGTAAGGTAGGGGTCTCTCCGGTGGTGACAGTGAGAGTAAGATAGAGTGAAAGTGACAAGCCAACGACATCGAAGCCAGGACCAATATTGGCCGAGGTTGCTGGAACTCGTATGGTAAACGAGTTGGTCATGTCCAACAATCAGACTGACGGTGACCAGTCTGTCTATGAGGCGAGACGGCCTGGTAAATTTGGATAGTGCGCGCTTTGGAGCAATGACGCGATCTTTAGCCAATGAGAAAACTGACAATTTTAACGTGAATGCTAAAATTATTGTTTGATGACGCGACGCGTCGCGTCAAATGTATATATCTGCACTACGACTTCAATATTCTGTCATTCAAGCGGGCATCATTAGTCCTTCGAGTTTGCTGGCTCACTGATAGGAGAACCAACAATACTCCGGCCATCAGAGGATCACCCTGTTCGGACCTAAGGCTTTTGCCAAACAAGCGCCTACTTTAGCCTTTAGGGAAATCCGATATCCAAAGTACAAATGTAGGGACACAAAATCTTTATTGAATCGCACACGACTCTGGATGAGAGGCTGTCCCAACCAGCCAAAAGTACCGTCTCATGATGCATTATAGCACAATTTCTCAGTGGGACCATCCTGAAGGTTATGTATTACGAGAGTTACGCATTATGAGATAGTCTACTGTATGCGCCATCACAACACGGGTATTGTTATGTGCAGTCTGTGGTGGGTATAGCGCTCATGGTTGCGAGCGCACTTGTGAGGGTCAAATGCCGGAATCCGTAGGTACGGAAGAGACACTCAGGTAGCTGAGGGAAGCGGCGAGTCACCAATGGAGGTGGTTGTCGTGGTTGTGCCGTTCTGGCCAGGGGCAACGACAGTGAACTGATAGAGTTATCAGCGACAAGATAAATATTGCTGCAACTTGCAACTCACGTAGATTTGATCATCTAATGATCCGTGCTGCGCCACAGCGACAAGAACTGGTTGGTGATTCATTGCAGTGACAATGGTAGACATCTTGTACGTCCCCTCAGGCAAACCATTAGTGATGCTGGCATGAAGTTGACCACTCGCATCTGCCTTGCTGTTCAAACCAACGAAGAATGCGAACTTGCTGGGGTCGGTTGGGGTAGTCTGCGTAAGGGACTGAAGCGCCTCGATAACGATGTGGGCGTGACCCTGGATTTGCCCAGATGCAGGATCAATTTGCTGGGGAGCAGAAAAGTAGTTGGTATCTGGATTAACAAAGAACCCAGTCTCGATTCCTCTAATCGCCAGCGTCACCTGGAAAGTGGTGTTCGCTGGAAGAACAGCCAAGTTGTTAGGACTGACGAACTTGGCACTGGGCATGTTCGAGGTGGAAGGGATGGCACCCATGGGAGCGGGGTTGCAGGAACCACCTTGGATTTGTTGGCCGTTCGTTATAGGGAGATTGGACAACGTGGCACAGTAGTTGATAAAGTTGTTGGTGGATGTTAAAGAAGGAACTTCGCCAGCCTCGGAGGTGTTTGTGTTCTGACCGTTCTGAGCAAAATTAGGAGCGACAAGGCTTGACAGTAGAGTCAGGGAGGTCTGGGCATTCGAGCTGGAATTTGACCCAGAGCCTGTTGCGGAAGTGGCTGCAACAGCTGAGCTGGATGTAGTAGTCGCATTGGAGGAGCTGCCTGTCGTACTTGTTCCGTTGGCAGTAGCACCGGTGGCAGCAATACGAGAGTTCAGGTCTGCTTGAGTGGTGCAAGTGATGCTAGTTCCAGCAGAGTTGACAAGAGGAAGTGCAGCACATCTAAGATGAAGGTCGACTAAGTACTGACATTGGAACATAGTCAGGCAAAACAAACTTACGTTAAACCTGATCCACATGAAGTGAGGACGTATTGCCCGTTGACGCACTGGGCAAACTCTCCGTTGACACAAGCGTTGCCAGATGTACAAGGTGAGGATGCAGTCAGTGACTGGAATTGGTTGCTGAAAGCAAGAGTTAGATTGTTAAAGGACTGCATGGAGCCGACGCTCCGTACTTCAAATTGATCGCGTCGATACCATTCTGCAGCACAAAGCTTCCCCCACGACGCTTGAGGCTCGGAAGAGCAGTGGCGAAGGAAGAGAGCACGAAAGTTACAAAAAAGGAAAGCTTCATGGCGTAGATATGATGGTATGTTGTCGACTTCAGCGGCGAAGAAGTGTTTCAAAGGTTTGTCTAAGACCAGCTTGTGGAAGATGGCAGTCAATGCCGGGTCGTAAGTTAGAAGCAAAGAATGTGAAGCGAAAGAAGGCAGTAGACACAGTCTACTTCGTCACTGACGAGGGTATGGTGAACAGGGCGAGTACGAAATGTATGCCGTGGCATGGTCTTTATACTTGACGCAAAGTATTAGTATCAGGAACAATGGAACAAGACATAATGGGATCATACCTCTCCTGCACAATAAAGAAGCACCTCGTTCATTGCCAACGCGAGCATGTGTTGTGTTTTGCTGGGACACTCGTTGTTGTTCGACGTACTTGGTTGTTGTTCACAAGAAGAGTTCTTATTGTTCACCGCTAATGACTACCAAACTTGGACTTCTGTAACATCTTTCAACCAGCTGGCCACGCGTCACGCGAGGCATTTTGATCGGTTTTGCAAACTCCCGGCTGGTTAATCTTCCCAAGTATCGCCGGCTAGCGCAGAGGATGATGAAAGCTAATACAGATCGCGAAACAAAATGTACTATGATTCTGTTCGTAATATCTGAATCAGCTCTGAGAATGACCCTCATTTGGCAGAACAAGGATATCAATCCTCAAGGAAGAAGTAGTTACCCGCGACTGCCAAAACGATATTAAAGACTTTGAATGACTCAAAAGACCAAATACATACCCTTCTGCTCCTTGTCCTTTACACTGTTAAGCTTGTTGACTCTTGGTCTGAAGTTCGTGGGATCACGTCTGAATGTAACCTCAAGCGATGCCAAGAAGTGGTTCATTCCAGTGAGGAGGGACTGTGGTCTGCAAAGTGAATTAACTAATGTGTGTGAGCATAGTGTAACCTAAATCTCTTACGGCGTAGAAGTTGCTCGAAGGGAGGGCTCCCCCTCAAAGACGATGACGCGGTCAGCCAGATAGGTTGCCATGATGAAGTCGTGTTCGATGACAAAAGCAGTCTTCTTGGCATGAAGGATAAAGCTGATGAAAATATCGATTAAATCGAAATGTAGACGACTAGATCGGTTGCTTACCGCTTGATGACCTTGCTTGCGATGATACGTTGCTCGGAGTCGAGGAAACTTTAATTCTGTATTAGCATATTCATATAGGGAGAACGAGATTGGCGCACCTGCTTGGTTCGTCAAGTAAATACACGGAGACATTGGGTTTGCCTTCACTCAGATGTCAGCCAATACGAAACGAAATCAAAGAAAGTACTCACCCAGTGCAAGGACAATAGCCACACGTTGCAGCTCACCTCCAGAGAGCGTCTTCACATCCTGATCCATAATATTATCCAACGTCATTGGTTTGACCACGTCCGTTTGGAATTGTGGGTGCATGAAGGCTGCTTTAATTTGCTTCAGCAGAAGCATGCGGACAGTTCCTGGGAACTTTGGTGATATCGTCTGCGGCTTCAAGGACACTGCTAACTCCATTTTGTCTGCCTCGTCGTCCGGCGTCGTCACGCCAGCAAGCAGACGGACGAAGGTTGTCTTGCCTGTCCCGTTTTCGCCAAGCATGACAATAATTTCCGAATCAGTGAAGCTACCGGACTCAACAGTGAGCTTGAAGTTGCCCATCGTCTTCGTCATAGAGGGATAAGAATAATGACGGGTCTTGTCAATGATGAGCTCCTCAGCAGTCTCCATCATCTTGAAGCTCAGTGACTCCTCGCGGAAACGCAAATTCTCGGTGGGAATGAACCCATCCAGGAAGATGTTGATACCTTGTGAAAGAGTGAGCCATTTCACAGCGATTTAGTGGGTAAGCTTTCACCTTCACGGACAGAATAAGGCATAGTCACAACACCATACATCGATGGCTTTCCGTAAAGACAACAGATAAAATCTGAAAGATAATCCAGTACTGACAGATCGTGCTCGACAGCGATGACATAGCAGTCTGGGGTGAGTAGGGACCGGATGACCTCAGCAGCCTTCAACCGTTGTTTTATATCGAGATAACTCGAAGGCTCGTCGAACATATATCTACACAAGACCGAGTTTAAAGCATGGTTTATGACTGAATTGGAACATACGCACACATCAGCCTTCTGGATACATGACATGGCGATCGCGAATCTCTGCAGTTCTCCACCAGAGAGTGCCGAAACTTCACGATCAAGAACGTTGTTCAGCTCTAGCTCATCGCACATTGTTTGCTTGTTGTCAAGTTCGAGTTTCGAGTCCAACATTTGTGAGACGGTCAGGTTGCCTTTAATCGCCCGAGGAATGTGGTCAACATATTGTGGCTTGATAAGTGCTTTCAAATTGTCCTCCAGGACCTTGGTGAAATAGTTTTGCAGCTCGGACCCACGGAAGTAACGCAATATTTCTTGCCAGTCGGGAGGATCCTGCCAGGTAAAAATCAATGCTGTCCTTGAACAGTCCCACTGACATACCACTCACATCATAGCGGCCAAGATTCGGCTTCTGTTTTCCAGCAAGAATCTTTAGTGCTGTGCTTTTACCAATTCCATTGGTTCCGACGAGTCCGAGAACCTGGCCAGGTCTTGGGGTGGGTAGTCGATGGAGCTTGAAGGCGTTGGCAGTATAACGATGCGTCACTTGAGATTCCAAGTTAGTAGGTAAGTTAATGATGGCGATAGCTTCAAATGGGCATCTAAGAATTTCCTCAATCATTTGGTCGACCTTCGCAAAATGATCCACTCACTTCTTTACGCAGATACCACAACCGATACATAAAAACTCTGAGATGAACGCTATCTTATCGGTCGATTTCACTTCTATGCAAAGTTTGCCTGGAAGGTCAATTAGCATGAGCACTCCGCCAGTGCTTCGGGTGGAGGCGCACCCATTTTGACCACAGGACATGACTGCTCGTAAACTGATGAGTGACTGATCTGACGTGACTGCTCGAGAGGGAGTGGTGCATCACCTTCTTGCATTCCTGGGCACATCGCTTTGGCTTGCAGCGATTTGCGTCTACGATGGCGATACGGGTGATTTTATCAGCCATCGTTGCAGGCTAGAGACGGCGGTTGGCTCTTGGATCTGATTCTTTGCTTGCAGTGATGACGGATCGGCAGTAGTATGTAGGTGATACAACGAAGTTGATTGGCTACGACGACCATGTTTATTTACATAAATGATTTATAAAAACTTTTTGCTGGTTATCTAATTATCTTATCTTAAGTTCGTGTCTAGTATCTACCATACTCGTCCCAGCTCTACCATGACATTGCCTGAGCAGATCGTTACTGTCGATGCTGTACGTGTCTATTTCATCAACGGAAGAGTTGGGCAATGACAATGACTACTGCGGATTTAAACCCTCGTACTTAGATCCTTTTCGATCTGGATGGGTAGTTGTCACTATTAGTCTTCTTAATCTGCCATGTCTGATCGCTGTACGCCAGGACCCTCATAGATTCCACTCCTGGCGTCATTTCAGCCTGGAAGACATTCGCAGAGGAATACAAACTTGGATCGCATCTTCCTATCGTACAGAAAACTCATGGACGGAGACTTGCTGATACCCTGAGAGACGAGACTATATGCAATATCCAGGACACAAAACTTTTGGATGTGGGCGCGACCTCGTTCGATGCTTGTAGTGACCCCGCTAATTCTGCAGAGCGAAATTTTGCGCTTCGAGGACTTGGTGATTCAGGGTAGCCCAGTGGCTCTTGAAGGAGCTATCGAGTTCTTGGCTCAGGTAAAACTTTCGAAGTCACATACATATTGCATAATCGGCTGACTATTACATCGCTCGAAGCTGAACTCACACCATGACATGCGCACTAGGTGGACAATTGTCACATCAGGTAGCGTGGCGATCTTGTCTTGTTAATGGTGCACCGGAGCTCCCTGAACCATAGCTTCGAGGTACTATGCAACTCAGTGCATACCAAAGTGCGAAATTCCGGTGCCTGCGTCAGGGTTTGTGACGGCAGATGATGTTAGCGAAGGAAAGCCAAAGCCCGCACCGTATCTTGAAGGAGCAAAGAAGCTTGGGATTGATGTGACTAAGTGTGAGTCAGACGATACCTGTTTCTTTGTGGCGCCTTATTTGCCCAGGTCTTGTTATTGAGGATGCACCGTCCGGGGTGCAAGCAGGAAATAGTGCCGGTGCAAAGACGCTCGCAGTTTGTACCTCCCACAAACGTGAGGACTTTGAGAACTGTTCGGAGGAAATCAAGCGCCCCACGTATATCATTGATGATCTGACTAGGTGAGTCGCGATGCACTCAGAAGCATTCACCACACTCAAAAAAAACTATTCGTAGAGTGCGCGTGAATTGGGAGAACAGCAAGATTCGGCTTACGATCGATACCCGTAGAGGACCTGATTCAGATTAACAATGTTATAGTCAGAAATCCACAACTCCCACGCAGTGGTAGTTTCAGGATTCCTTAGGCTCTAAGGCATGATAAAATTCAAAACAGGAGGGTACTCACCAATGTCAGAAGCTGCCTCATCGTAACGAACAAGCGGTTGGCTTTCACAGAGTCGACTCTGGTAAAAGAAATTAAGCTGCCACCGCTTCAAGTTGCAAAGGCACTTACAGCTTACAGGCTCTTCTTCTGCTGATACTTCATAACTAATCCAGGTACTCACTAGCCTCGGGTGCACAACCTCACAGGGAACCGGTAATTGACAGATATCGAATTAGCTTGAGTATGGCTGCAAAATTGATATTTGAGCTATGAGCTCGTCTCAGAGAGTATATGAAGCAAGATCAAAGCCACTAGTATGGGGCTCGACCTTCTTTGTTTGGTCTTGTTGATATTGCGTCGCCGCGCTCGAATGATTGATGTTGTAGCCTTTTGGACCCCTACCTTGAACTTCGAGTTATAAGCAGCAGCTGGGAATATCCATCGCGTTCTTTATCCGTGCCAGTCTACTAAGTGCAGCCAGGCTTGCTGCCCTCCTTGTGTCATATTTGCACTCATCTCTATACCTCCTCGGCTCAGCTTTGTATGGTATTGAACCCTAACGTTTATCCACCTTTAGAAACCTGTTCTTCTTGTCCATCCCCGTCTTACAGGCGCGTGGGCTATGGCATTTTCTGTTGCCGTGCGTTATCTCCAGTCCCCGATCCAATTTGTCTGTCGTTCCGGGATCACGCTCACCAGCGGAAGAGCTTGTCACCCTATTGCTTTTGTTCTCATACGCGCGCGGGAAGTCAGTTTTCTCTTGCCCGATACAACTCAACTCTTCCATTGTTTTCCTTTCACCTCCTTTTTGTGTGCCTGCCTCTATAGGTTGTTTTGGGATTTAGCCTTTTTTGACATTTCTCTGCAGACATGCGTCTTGCGGGGATGCCCCTCCTTCTGGCATTCCCCATCCATTCCGTAGTCTTGGGTGGTCCCAAGACTCCTCGCGCGAGCTTGACGATGCGGAGGACCTGTTATTTGATCCTAGTATCACTGTCGACATGGAAACATTTGCTTGATCTCAATGGTGCTGTGCGAGTTCTGGACGTCACCCATGATAAGTTGTCCCACTTTTGAATCTCCTTCAAAACACCGACTGAATACTATGACGAAACCTCTAACAAAAAGCAAATTCTCTCGCTCTTTCTATATAAGTGTTAATCACATTACACACTACTGCTAGTCGACACATGCACGCGCTCCTCGAAAGCAATTGAAGTCATGCCGGTTACCGCATGGGAGCCGGCCACGAGCTTAGCCTTATATTCTCGAACGCCAAGAATCAAACGTGGTCCTAGTACAAACATCCGCACAAGTTGGAAGATGTCAAGCAAACCAAAGTAGATTTGAGTTCCCAGGGCAGTCGTATCCTGTAGAAATGATGAATGGTGGTCGCATGCGTGGCAAATCAGCATACCACTGGCATCGTCGAAAAAAAATAAGCGAGATCGAAGCACGAAACGATAACAACGCTAGCGTATGCGGAACCTCATCAGCGGACTAAGCGACCCACAATGACTTATGAGCTCACCTTGTGAAGTAAACCATGTGAGTTTTCATCAACACGGTGAAGGTGTCCTTGATAAGTCCTCTCGCCGAATGTTGTCGCAGTTCATAGAAGTGTTTTACAGCGACCCACACTGCAAAAATCAATGCGAGCACCTCCCATACAGCGGTGAATATCCAAGTCATGGAATGCAGGAATAAATCATCAAAGCCAACTGTGCATTGAGAGGTGCCGGAAAGAATCAACTCCTCTGGTATTCCTTCATGAGCCTGACACGCTTGAATATTCGAATCATGATTGAGCGTACCCCATGAATTCTTCCTCACTGATATCGCAACAACCACTCCGTCGAAAATGTTGACAGCAAAGAGGATGATGATGAGAAATATCAGCACCTTTCTAGATCGTTGATACATAGCGTGTAACCGAGCAATCAGGATGACTTGCATGATGTTTTAGTCAACTCGATATCATGGAGATATTGCGCAGCTGCGTAGCTCACCACCCAATACTGCATATACAACGACACCTATCCAATTTTCTGCGAAGTTCAGAATAAAGCCTGAGAAATCCAGTAATGTTAGTGGTCAGCCTCAGAGGCTCGCATACTCAAAACCAGCTCACAGCTGTGGCAGTCATTAATTAGACCAACAATATGGCCGAGAATCCCACTCACCCCTACATGGGAGTGCAGTTCATTAGACGGCCATAAACATTGGTGTGGAATACTCACTGCATCTGTCATTGAAATCGTTGGGACCCAAACTGCATATCGCCAGTCAAAAAAAAAACGCAGTGTATATGAGGAAACACAAGTACTCAGTATATTTATGCTGATTGTGAGGCATGATTAGCACGGTGCCAATAACTCAGCATTTCAGACATACACGGCATATGATATTCCAAGATAGCGCACCTAGAATATTTTCCACGTCAATACAACTTGCCGACCGAACTTATGACACAGGCTACATACACTGAGATACAAGACGGTGCAAAGGGACCAGGGTTGCCTCTGGCACGAACCAATTCTATTTCGAGCTGTTTTTCTACTAGTGCGGGAATTTGCTCACCCAGACCAGTTCAACCTATGGAGCCAGTAGGTTAGTTTTTTATTCTTGCTCCGGTCATGACATGAACGTACCTCTTGTCCGAACGTTAGGACTAGAAACACCATAAGTACATGAGCATTTTTTTTTACTAGCTTGCTCACCCCAATCATACGTCACCCCAGCGGAACCGGCAACTGCGAAACCATAGTTTATGTTGGATCAGGAAATCACCCGAGTGGTCATCCACGAACCTACAAAATAGCTGGAAATACGATACGAATAAATGGACGGCCACCAACTGGGATCATATGAGACTAGGGTCATAGTATTTTTGAGAATGGATATGAGTGAACTTGCGAACTTGGTAGACGCTCGACGATGGCGTTTATGTACTACCATCCGATTGTACGGCCCAAACCAACAGGGACTATCTTCCTTCGTCCATAAAGGGCTGTGGCAGTGAAGGAAGACTAAGCCAAAACGAGCATAAAGGGATGATATTCGCTGTCGTTATGACCGATTAATACAACGTGAAACACACCAGATACACCTCTGGAAGATGCTGAACACTGGTCCGTTGCACGTGATCAAATCAGACCTTTGAAATATCGCCTGGGTCCGTGAAGCGACAGTTATAATAATCATCATAGCAGTTGGCATTGGTTTGCCTTAATCGGAATCTCATGAGTGGCTGAGGGTGGAGAAACTTAGTTTCCCATGACCAGATAGAGAGAACGTGGAAGACAACCATGTGTACCTTCTTGATTAAAGACCAGCGCATCAAAGAGTCTGACGGATCGCCGCCACAATCAAACTTTATAGATGTGCCCACTGTTGGTAGTGCACTAGCATGATGGTGGACAACAGATTTGTACCCTCACAACCTCCATGTTGATTCACGTTTTTCACGTGGATGCTCCGTTCTTTCGCTTCTCGAGCGGTCTATCGCACATCAATTAAACATCACATTGAGATTGTTGGTAGTGAGACACTGACTTTCTTCCTCGAATAACCTGTGCGATGAAGTGTTTGCTAGATTGTGGACAATGCCAAGTTTTTCTGTCGAGCATCGCCAATCTCATCATGGAGCTGACATCTAGATACACATCACTGTCACATGTATCCTGTTAGCTTGGAATGATCAGACAGAAAAAAACGTAAGTGTTGTTCACCTGCAGTGCTCTGATGCGCAGCCTGAGGGCCAAGTTGATGCGGCATGAGCTGGGCCCTGCCAATGGACCCTGGTGTCACATGGTATGAATGAGGCTTGGCGTAGCATCATGATGAACAATGGTTGACCTATGACACAACTTGAACATACCACGGGTGATGCGGAATAGTGCCATGCACTGGATTATGGATTAGAAGCTTATACGGTCAATATACGGTAGTACTAAGTTGGAGCCCGACATGTCACGTGACGTGGAGGTGATACTGCATTTCTCTGCCGTCGTACAACTGTATGCCCGGTCATCACAACTTGATACCGCAAAGGTGCGGCATCAGCGTTTTCGTGATACGCCGCCGGTGTCATTTCGGTTGTGATGCCTTTGAGAGCGTTCACCATATTTTTGCTCGCTGCCTGGCCCGGCATGTAGCTGTGTGATAAGACCTCCTCGCTGCTTGAGGGCAAGGCTGCCGATCGTGCACAAGAGATCTTGAAACGAGCAGCTCAACGCCTGTTTTCTGACGACGCGGGGCTTTGGCCACAATATCGGGCGCGTTTTTACATGGGTGTGCTACCCCCACTTGTGGGCAGCATGACTGAGACAGAGGTGGGTGTGTTACCCCCATCGATATGGGCAACTTTGCGTCTGGTAATGCGGATGTCTTACCACGATTGGCGTAGGCATGGCACGTGCATAGTATTCGGCTTGCAGGACGTCACAGTATTTGGGGAGAGTACAAACGACGTATAAGGTCTCTGAATGCCGTTCCTTCTGATATAGTCGCATATAAGTCTTTGGACACTTATGCGTACCTCTTACCAGCGAGTTTGCGAGCTTTGCTTTGATTTCGGATGTTTGATTGGATTCGGGACGTTTTTGTTTCATTGGTAGTTGAGCGCTGAGCGCTGAGCCATTGAGGAACCTAGTTACCTCTCGGAGCGTATGTGAGCGTAGATGGCCAAATATAAAATTCAAAATAATAGCCATCAAGGTAACTAGGTACCTGTGCTTATGTGAGCCGTTGCAACGTTGAACGTTGAACATCCATTAATTAATAGTAGACCTGTTCGCAGTATGCGGACCCCTGGACATGCATATGAGGCATAATACTTATACTACACATATTTAAATTGACACAGTATAACATAACGTCGTTTAGCCGCACTGCGCAGTCCCCGACATATTTGTACAGAATTTGAATGTGAAATATGTACTTGATCGGCTCCTGGAACGTTTGGCAACGAGTCGTTCTCCGACACAACAGCGACGGGAGCATTTGCGGATACCAGTATCTGGCGACAGAGGTGAGGAAGGTGCTATGTGCCCCTTCAAGTTACGTCTCGGGAACAGGACAGCTTCTGCAGGAGTTTGTGCATAACGGCAATTAAACAAGACATCCATTGCAATATAATGCTATGTAGATAACCTTGGAATTTGAGCTCAAGCCTGCAGCCTTCCATGGCAAGGTCATGTATGAGTGTGATTAGACGGATTACTGGTAGAGTCGAGAAAGTCTGACTCAT